TGGGAGCAGGAGGCAGAGCTGGACCCCAAGGTTGAGGGGCTTTCACCCAGCCCCTAGAGCCTGGCACTTTGAACTTGGACTTAAAGCTTCCAAATTATAAGAATAAACTCCTGTTTATTCAAATTTAAGAATAAACTCCTGTTAAGGCCATCCCATTTGTGGTATAGACTAGTCAGAGCGGCACTAGGTAACCAGAACTGCCAGCCACTCAAGGTCTGGAAGAGAATGGGTTTCAGGTAGAGGGAGCAATTAGTGCCAAGGCCCTGAAGCAGAAATGGACTCAGTATATTTGAGGGATGGACAAAAGCAATGAAAACAAGGATGACCATGGTGTGATAAGAGGTTGGAGTAGGGTCAAGACCATCTGCTTAGGGGCAGGAACGGATGCGTTGTTCTCAGCTGCCCACACTACACTAGGGAAGGTCATAAGCAAGGCTTTTTTCACTTTCATGGGCCCTGGGCACTCCTTCATCTGGAGGCCCTGGTTCCACATCATACAAATTACCAAATGCACCCATATTCCTTATTAAGTATAATTTACATGTGAGTTGAGTTGAGTTGTGGCTGATTGGTTGGCAAACCTGGTGGCAAAGCATTTGGATCAATAGCCCTGCCTTTGCTTCCATGCAGTTTTAAAATAAATGACAATGACAGAGACAGGGAAGGGGAAAACACTCCAAAAAAGCCAGACTTTAATATGAGCATTTCCACTCCTTTTTGTCATGCCAGGAAGTGGAAAGGCTGCTTGAGCAAAACCTTCTGGAAATACTGAGAGTCATTATTCAATGAGCTAGAAATATTTTACCAAAGGAAAACTATGTGTCATACCTGAATACTGGTTTCTTTTGGCCAGGTAATTTATTTTAAAATTTGGACAACACACAGCATATCAAACAAGTTTCTAAATAGATTACAGAAATGAATGCAGACGGTGGTATTCCTTGATTCTTTCATTAGCTTTCAGAAGATATATGTAAAGTGAATCCACACAAATGCCTGGCACCTAACAACAATAACAAACTACAACAAAAAAAACTAGCTGCCATCAAGTCAATTCTGACTCATGATGACCCCACGTATGTCAGAGTAGAATTGTGCTCCATAGGGTTTTCAACGGCTGTGACCTTTTAAAAATAGACCTTTCTTCTTAGGCACCTAGATTTTAGTCAGTAAATTTTAACTGCCAAGCTTTCAGTTAGAAGCTGATCAATTAACCATTTATGCCACCCAGGGACTCCTGTCTGACCCCTAGTAAAGTCATAACAACTTTTGGCAAGGAGGGGAAGAAACTGTGCCACCCCTCCGCTCCCCAACACAGTACTGCTATAGGTCTCTTCTACAAACACCAAAAAACCAAATTCAATGCCATTGAATACATTCTGATTCATGATGACCCTTAAAGACAGAGTAGAACAGCCCCATAGGGTTTCCAAGGCTATAATCTTTATAGAAGCAGACTGCCTCATCTTTCTCTTATGGAGTAACTGGTGGATTCAAATCACTGACCTTTTTTGGTTAGCAGCCCAATGTTTTAACCATTACACCACCAGTGCTCCTAGGTCTCTTCTTCTTAGCTGAACTAAATGATCGACCCCCCCCAAAGGGATGAAAGGCCCTTCTCCCAAAGCTCCACCTGTAAAAGCTCTTCCCCCTTCTTCCTCCCTTCCACACTGTCCACCTGCCCTGCAGTGCCGGGTTCTTTGTAGATCTCTGCAGGAAATCCTTTTCTGTCTTGGCTTCCTTCGTTCATTTGCTCGTTCTCTTTGAAGGTCTTCCTACAATTCTATAAACTATCTTGCAAACCACTAATTTTGAACAATATGACCAAGTTCACAATAATAGACTGTGTTGGGGTTTTAAAAGTTCTTTTGCTGTTCATGGGTGGGGCAAAATAATTAGCAACTGTGTGCCTCCATTTTTACATCTGTAAAATGCTACAGCATTCAGGCTTGGGGTGGTTCAAATGACACTTATAGAATCAAACGCAAACTCACTGCCATTAAGCCAATTCTGACTCATAATGACACCCTCTCCCCAGTGGGTTTTCTAGGCTGTAAATCTTTACGGAAACAGACTGCCTCATCTTTCTTTCATGGAGTAGCTAGTGGGTTCAAACCACGGACCTTTCGGTTAGCAGCCAAATGCCTGAACCACTTCACCACCAGAGCTTCTCTTAAAGCATCAGTACTCTTCAATAAGATGACGGCTGAAGGGCCCATATGGTAGTGATGTCTTAAAACTGAAGAGTTATGCCTATGTATATGGAAGACTGTAACTTTTTAACAATATCAGAGCTCTAACAATATTATGGCTCTTGAAGTTTTTTAACAACTGAAAGAA